ATGCTATTCATATATGCAGCAAAGGTTCAGGGAATAGGAGGAATATGTGGGTTACTGTTAGTAAAGCAATGTATGCATTTGGAGATTGACAGTGATGACTTGTCTAAAAGAAGACAGAATAGTAGAAAAACAGCATGTTGACTTTTAATTAGATTTGAAGAACTGGGAAACCAGCCTTTAAAGTTAATTAAAAGTTCATTCTATGCACATGAGTATGTACAAAGAAGTAATGCATTCATACACTTTATTGGAGGGTTTTCCCAAAATACTGCTTTTATAACTGCATAAGCAATACACTATGTGCATTTGCTCGCTCAGAGCTACATCTCTGCCAGATACATCTAAGTCTCCTTGGTTGGTTTCACACTTTGATTGTATTCTACATGGTTCATAAATGTTTGACATTAAAACACATTCAGCCCAATAACCCGTGAACTAATTCAGATTTGTTTAAACAGTATCATACTAATTTGTATTGTGCAGGAAGTGCAAGCAATTCTTTAGTTATTTACAGCATTCTTGACTTTAGTTATATACAGCATTTATTGTGACAAAAAATAACATTGCCAAGCTAAATGTTTCAACTTTTTTCCCTTTTCTAATGATTTTGCAGTACATTTTCACTAACACAAGTCTTGCGTCAAGTCTTTCATAGCAGTTTTTATATATTTGTCTTACTCTGAATTTCAACTGCAAAATTCATAGAAGATGAAGTTGATAATTTTAGAATGCTAAGTATTGCTTGCAGCTTCTTTCCTCAATTATGAAAACAGTGTAAAACCAAGCAATCAACTTATAAGCACCAAAGCTTCTTAGACAGAATCTTATCTCAAATATGCAAAGCAAATTGGAAGAAATTATGCATTTTTTATGATATAAGACTCTTGCAAGGAAGGTTTGGAAAGGATCAGGGCCAAAATATTGCATATATCAGCCATATGTCCTGAAACATTACACAGAGGTGAAATGATTTGTCCTCACACAGTGCTTCTGAAATCATTAACAATATATTGGTCTGATCATGATGGCATGAAAGTAGATGGGGATTAAAACAGAAGATCAGATTCTGATTTCATATCAAATTAACACCAGTATAACTTTACTAACAACAATACAGTTATTTCTCATTTACACCAGTGTGGATCAGAATTGATCAATTTTGGAAATCAAACACTTCTTTGTTTGCTTGTGAAAACCGGAGTTCAGAGTTCTGCATCAAATTTTGACTTTCTGTACAACACCTGCATACAGCTTCTGCTGAAGCAAAATTTTGGCACTTTGAGTGTGTCTTTACACTGTTGCACTAAATTATTGTAAATAATGCAAGGTGTTTATCCACAGCTTCCTCCAATTCCTGATGTTATTGATTTCAACTGTTGCAAGATAATCATGAAACCCTAGAATTCTGGTTTTGACAGTAGAAAGTCTTGCTCTTCACATTTCATTTTGGAGATGAACAAGTTGGAAGTCATGAAAGCAATTTGCCTCTTTTCTTGTTTTTTATCAAGTTATTAAAATCTGTTGAACTGTTGGGCAGTTGATTTCCAGGTCAACCTAGAGAGAGAATGCTGAGAACTGCAGCATTTCTTTTCATGGTCACATTGAATGAGTCATGACTGTTGCTTCAGGAAAAGAGTTGTGTTTTGTACATCTTTTCAAGCACTTCATGTTCATTCTGAAAGGATTATGTAAAAAACCTACGTATAAATAATTCTTCATTATAATTAGTAAACATCATTTTACTTAATGTTACTATAAACATGAAATAACATTCATGCTTTCAATTGTGGCTGTCTAAAAAGTTTTTTTAGCAAAATTTGTTGTCGTCTTCTGATTTTTCAACACATAACTTAAATATATAGTTACCAAAAAAAGAGCATGTAATATTTTGAATGAATATAATTCTAACAGCATGCAAAGGATTTGTTTGTTCTCCTTTGCAGAACTGTTAAAGGAAGTCATAGCTTTCAACTTGTTTCAATATGCTGCTATTTACATAAAGGAAAATATTTATTTTCAAAAATTTCAACTGGCTGAATATCAAAATAAGCAGTTTTAAGCAACAGCATACCAGTGGTTAGTTTCCTTATATACTTCAGTTCAGTATTAAAATTGTAAAAGAGAACTTTTGGGGTCCAGCGTCTAGTTTTCCTATAGGGATTGATCCATCACACCAGAGCTGCATAATTTTGAGCATGTAAGGTAAAAAGTGAAGAGCAAGATGAGGAGAATGGGAATTTGTCCCTGCTGTGAAGGCAGTAATGATTTGCTACTTGGGTGTAGCAAAGTAGAGTGACAGTCCTAAGGCCCAAAATGCCATACTACTAAGTGTCTCCTTTGTTGCCTGAGGATTTTACAGTCTTTACTTAAGCACACTAGAACCAATAGGAGCTTTGCCCAAGAAAAGACAGTAAGTTTTGAACCTAGTTGTTCATTAAGTCCAATCAATGAGTGTTACCCAGAAGCACACATATCTTTGCCTGAATTTTCCCCTCTCCTCATTACCTCATTAGCTTCAGTTGTTTGCCTGGGAGCTGCAGTCTGGGAAATCCCATAGTCAATTTCAGTCACGCTATATTCTTCTTGAAATTCATCAACAATATTGGCCTATATTAAAAAGAAAACACATTACTAAAAACATAGACTAAGACAAATATTCAGCAAGAGTCACTATTTAATCAGGGAATGGTATTAGCCGCAGAGTATTCATCTAGTGGGGTTAGGGCTATGTATGTCTCATGATCAGAGATCTTCCAGTCTTGGCCTGGGAAAGATCTTGATTATTTCTTTGCTACCTTTACCCCTAGTTTGCCTTTTGCTGCTGCCTGGTAACTTTTCTTCTTCTTGGATGCAAAATGTTCAGATTTTTTTGTTGTAACCTTTGTGGGTTTGTCCTTTGATTTAGCGGCCACTGTCCTCTTCTTCTTTTTGGCTTTGGCTTTCTTTTTCTGAAAAATGTGGTGAAAGATGGAATGGGAAAAATAAATAAAATGAAAGAGAAATGCAGAAAGCCTGAATGAAGGAAAGGGAAGCAAAGGCAAAATGCATCCTGCAAGTCATGATGCCTTCCATTGCTAACTGAAAACAAATGTTATGGATACACATGAAAGGAGTAAGTGAAAGGGATACAATAAGTTCAATAAACAGATGACACAAAATGACAAACCACATGACAGAGGACAGCAGGATACTGCACAACAAATGGTCCAGATTTTGTTACCTCTGTTTGTGCTATTGTCTCCATGAATAGTGGGGTTCCCTCTGTTACCGTTTCAGGCTCTTTATAATCTGCTTCCCCATATTCATAGTCATATTCGAATAAATCTTCAGTTGCGTACTACATTACAAATGGAAAAATATCAGGCATTTCTATGTTAGTAGCAGCAAACTATATTAGCAATACTGTACTGGAAAGCATCTTAACTTTACTTGGGAGTAAAGTTTAAGGGGTTTAAAGCAGCATGAACAATTCAACATAGTTAGTTATTCTAAAGCACTTATTATCAAGATTTATTTTCTTTTTTTGTAATACAATACCAAAGTAATGAAAAAGCAAGTACTGGTGACCATAAAATGATCTCCATTAAATGGCTGCACTGACTAGTCAACTAAAATTTAGATTATGGAATGTTCCCACTCTCATTTAATGAAACCATATATTTGTATATTTTTTTATGTACAAATAAGTTGATAGTAAAATCTTTCTAGCTGGAGGGAGTCCTCTACCTCCATAATCTCAGCAAAGAGGTACCATATTTCCACAAACTGTGATCTCTAGGGTACATCTACACAGCAGGGCTAATGTCAAATTAAGCTGCACAACTTCCATAGTTTAAATCAAAATAGCTTAATTCGGCCTTTGGCGCTATCTACACAGCAGGAAGTCAAAGGAAGAAAACTCTTCCTTCAACTTCCCTTACACCTCATGAAATGAGGGTTACCATAAGTCAAAGTAAGAAGTTCTCCAGCTTAACATTATTTCAAAATAAAGGCTTGTAGTGGAGACACACACTATATTATTTTGGAATAACTTCAGTTATTCCGAAATAACGCTGCTGTGTAGACATACCCTAGAAGTGATGCTCCATTTCCACTACTGACTTGTCATGTCTGAAGAATAATATCTGGAAAGCAGCAACTTTCTTGAAGTGGTAACCGGAACATCCTGGGATATGATGGTGTCACCCTATTAAGTAAATAGCCTGAACAGGAAAACAGCTACCTTCCTACTCAAGTCAGAAGCTCTATCCCCCAAAATTGCCCAGTACCTGTATAGGTATATAGTATATGGGAAGAGGGACAAGGATGCCTCTTGGACCCCTAGTAGTTCTGGCATCTATACCTGCAGTCCCTATACTTCTCTGAATCTAATCTCTGAGACTGGATATCGCCGCTCACAGCACTAGGCATTCCAAATAGGATAGTGGAGTCAAGGGGTGAGCTGGTAAGTAATATCCATTTCACACCTTTAAAGGGAGTAGCAATAGATATGCTCCTCTTGTATGCTGGGGAGCTCTTGCAGAGGCAGCACAACTTCATGGTTCTCTTGATGTCAGCCAATGCCTTAAAGTCACAATTAAATTAAAAAATATGGATTTTTTTGAAAATTTTTGTAGCTCCATTGATTTCAATGACACTACAAGAATTTACACCAGCTAAAAATGTGTCCCAACGATTTTTAAAGAGCAATTAGATTTAGAATTAGCTCTTTATTGGTGTGCCTGTGAACCTAGGAGTCAGGAATTCTGGCTCTGGCACTAACTCACTGGGTCAGATCATCAGATATAATAGGGAGCCACTTGGCATAGCTGGGGAAACAAGTCAGCTCCATTAAACTATGTTACACTCTCCTTATGCCTGGAGCTGCCTGGGATGGGTTTGCCCCACACTAATTTAAAGCAACCTCCTGACTACAAAAAAACTCTGGGAAGTTGTAATGCCGCATCAGGAACCCTTAAACTGAATAGATAATACCAAAGTACAACGTGTTCCAGCCACTCTTCCACTCCATTCAATATGATCCTTATTTTAGAGAGTCATGTCATTTAGGAGAAAACTTTGCATGACTCTCAGTGGGAACCAGGTACCTCACCATCCTTTCTACCTTTAAAATCTCTTTTATGCTCGTCCCCTACCACAGTGTCCCCATCTGTAAGACGAGGAGAATATTCGCCTACCTCAGTGGATTGCTGAGATCAATTACTTATATTTATAAACGGCTTTAAAGATTTAGAAAAGTATTAAATGCCATAATCATTATGAAATGTATTGAGGTTTCAGGAGAAATTGTTAGCAGGACTAAAACTATAGACTCTGTGTCCCAAAATAAGTTGCATTATTTGGCCAAAAGATGCTTGTTTACCACCTTGGGATGCTAGCCAGTCACCTTGGTTATTCATCTTTCACCTGAAGACTTCTTAATGAGAAGAAAATACAGAGAAGAGATTATTCTTCTCCAGTAGTATGGAACTGATCCTAAAAGTTCCTGTGCTGCTACAGTCCCCTTTGGCTAGACTTTTATCATTTTACCACTGTTCAATCCTAACTACTCACTGGTGTTTAAACAAAATGCACAATCTTCTACTATGATCGCCAATTTTGTTATTGATATTTCTATATTTTGAAATCAAAACCAAAACCACTTTGAACTCTTGCTTTTTCATTAAATAAAATTATTGTATTGAAAGTTTACAGCTATAAAAAGAAAATATAGATTTTTCTTAATTATCATGCAATTTTTACTTCCATATGGGAAAAAATAAGCTCCTGTTATATATTTATGTGATATATTGCTAAGTATAATTCCATAAAACTATATTTCATGTTTATAAATAGCACTTTTGAAAATATAGTACTGATTTAGTGAGCCTATGCATGTGACTTAAATTGTTATAATCTAGTGTAGAGCATCCTGTCTGTGGAATATTTTGGTGTTTTTAATATACCAATTTGTCAGAGACATACACTGTCTGAAAAAAAACATGCTTTAACTGTCTCAGAGGAAAGCTTCTACTGACATCCTCTATTTGGATAGGTTAAACAATCAGAATTTGACTTCATTGATATAATACAAAATAAGCATCATTTTAGACTAATGCATGTAAAATGTGGTGAGGAGTCCTATGGCACCTTATAGACTAACCGAAGTGTTGGAGCATAAGCTTTCATGGGCTAAGACCCACTTCATCAGATGCACGAAGTGGGTCTTTGCCCACAAAAGCTTATGCTCCAACACTTCCGTTAGTCTATAAGGTGCCATAGGACTCCTCGCCGCTTTTGCAGATTCAGACTAACACGGCTACCCCCCTGATACTTGACAGCATGTAAAATGTGTGTTCTTATTCTTCCCCAGTTGCCTTTGGGTAAAGGTCCAATTCTTTTTCCAGCAAAATAAATGGAAAGATTTCAACTTTCAGGAGAGATTGCAAAGGTCTGCACATCCCAGAGATCAACTATGAGGGAATGGCTATACTAGCCACCCTAGTTCGAACTAGGGTGGTTAATGTAGTCATTCAAACTTGCAAATGAAACCCGGGATTTAAATATCCCGGGCTTCATTTGCATGTTCCTGGGCGCTGCCATTTTTAAATGCCCAGTAGCTCGAACTACCTGCCCGTGACTACACGCGGCACGGGCTAGGTAATTCAAATTAACACTCTTAATTCGAACTACCGTTACTCCTCATTGCAGGAGGAATAACGGTAGTTCGAATTAAGAGCATTAATTCGAACTACCTAGCCCGTGCCGCGTGTAACCACGAGCAGGTAGTTCGAGCTACCGGGCATTTAAAAATGGCGGCACCCGGGAACATGCAAATGAAGCCCGGGATATTTAAATCCTGGGCTTCATTTGCAAGTTCGAATGACTACATTAGCCACCCTAGTTCGAACTAGGGTAGCTAGTGTAGCCATACCCAGATGGTGCTCCTTTTGTACAGATAGGGAACTGGGAAGTAATCAAAGGCAGTTGTTTGGGCTCCAGCAGCTTTGAAAACAGGTAAACACAGTGAGTTCCTAATGAAGAACAAACCCGTAATCAGAAAAGGAAATTGCATTTTGAAGTGTCTAGGAGGCAATTCACAGCCATATACAATAAAAAGAAATACATATTGCATCAAAAGAGCCCTTTAAACTATCAATGGATCATAAATCCATAAAAAGGGTATGTTCATTTTCTGCCAGTAGGTCCTTGACAATTGTACTGATATGGAAGGAAAAGGTTCTGTCTTCAAGGGAATACAACAAATCAAACTCAGTCACCCTCATGGGCCAGCCAGAGAGAATCAATCACTTATATTTAAATGCACCTGAAGCCAAAAAAAAATGGGTCAAATTTGTCCTGATGTAATTTCCATGGAAGTCAATAGAATTTTGCCAGGAATGAATTATTCTAAATGGCATTCATGCAAAATCCAAGGGGAGGGTAATCAAAGATGTTTAGGGAAAATACTATTTCATTAATGGGAATTTAAAAGAAAAATATATCATTGGGAATTAGTTCAGTTTAATAATTGTCCAAAGGAAATATATTAACTGTATAAAATAAGCAACACAATGAAACAGAGAAGTAGTGAACAACAGCATCCCAGTGAAATGGAAAGTCAGTAAGCAATAGCTCTCACTTTTCTATTCATTTTGCACTTTTAACAAATGTATTTATGTTTTGCTTAGTATTCTAGTTAACTTACAAATGTTGATACAATTGCATTCCTGAAGGTAAAGCTATCAGGCTTGTGCCAACTCAGTGGTTACTAAAATTATAAGAGCGGGTTATAGAACGTTCTTCATAGACCACAAACTCAAAAGAAACATTGACTGAAAAAGAAATCTGTGCCAAGTATGTTAGTATAAAAAAGGAGCATGGTGAATAAATTGGTATTTATATTAAATTGTGCCAGAGGCACAGTTTGAAAAGCCAGACATTTATGAATGAGAACTAGAAAGCATGGATACGTGGAAGACTCTATTGCATCATGCTCAATCAAGTGGAAAATATTTTACTTTTCCAGGTTTGTGCTCTATTCCTTTCTATTAATAAAAATGGAACCTTTCTTAAATATGCTCTATTCTCACAAAAACCAAGGCACGTTTGGTCTACCACTGGTAGATAGACCCACAAACCAAAAAGTACATGAGCAGATGAAAAATGTAGGGTGTAAATTTTCTTTCCTGGTTCAGATTACCCTCAAGCCCATGGAAATGCCTGTCTGTAGGCTTTTTGTGATATTTTGGTGCCTCAGAAGAACATTTTAGAGTGCAGCTCACACATGAGGAGACGTGGGTATTATGCGACACATTAAAACTACAGGAAAGCTAGTGGGAGAATTCAGCAACTCCA